GGGGGGGGGGGGGGGGGGGGGAGACTTTCACTGCGATGACAAAGCGTCGCGCGTCTTACTGCCCGGCTCAGCCACGCCCCCCCTCCCCTCGCCCGTGCGTATCAGTAGCTCAACCGTCTATCGGTATGCCGCGACCTTGGTAGTCGCGCGATAGATCGCAACAATAGCGAGCGCGTGCCAGCGAGCACGTGTAGACGATTTCGCTCTCGTGATTTTCGAGTGTGCTATATTTGAAGGCTTCATCTGCAATACGCGGAGTAAGCTTGAAGTAAAAAGTAAGAATAGCAGTGAGAAAAGAAGATAATTTATTTCGCTTACGTCTCCAGCTCCCTTACACCGAAAGACTTTCCCCTTGTCCCCTTGCTTTAATTCTTAAGCCGTAAGAAATTGATCAATCACAGTTGATTTTTAAAATAATTGACTGTGGTTGGTCAATTAATTATGGCTTAAAGATTGAAGCAAGATTGTGGACAAGGGGTTTCTGTCAAATACTTTCGGTGTAAAGGAGTAAGAGTTTAGATGTATATGTCAGTGAAATAAATTAGTTTTGTTTCTAAAAAGTCCGTCTACAGTAAGAGTAAAATATGACTGCAAGAAATAAGAAATTAACTAGTCACGGTTGAATGTGTGATTGATCGATTTGTTACTTCTTACAGCCATACTTTGCTCCCATTGTAGACGGTCCTTTAGTCTTTTTCTTACTTTTCGTATGCTAAGCTTACTCCACGTATTGAAGACGAAATTTAATACGCGACTGCAACGAGACGGTGTACACGTCGCGATCAACACGAATTCGACAAGTCGCGGTCATCGTGAGACTTGTGAAACTTACCACACCCAGGTAATCACCGCGTCCTATCTTTTTATCAAATTTTAAGACGAGATATATTGTCAGAGCTATATTGCGCTCTCAATTTAACAAGACAGAACAACCGTCCTATATATTGCCGTGAATTAATCAGAACTATTCTCGATTTCAGATCAGACGGAGTTTGCGGCCGCAACGACAGAGGAAGCTCCAAGGATGCTGTCATGATGATTCCTGATGCCGTACCGGAGGATCCGGTTCGGGCCGAGCAGAGTCGGCTCGTAGATAAGCTCATACACCTGCTATGCTCCTCTCCTTGATTCTTTAGGTTAGAAGTCGAGATATATCTGTCAAGATAACTGAAATTACGAGCGAAATGCATTAATCCACTCCTATATTTGCTCGCTCTCGTTCTTCAAACGGAATTTCTAGATCCAACTAACGAAGTCGTTTCTTTTCTGTTCCAGAGCTTGTAAGAGAACGCGGCCGATTCTGAGTACGGCGGTTTGGTGAGTCACAAATAAGTGCCAAAGTGAGCATTATTGATTTAAGGTGGTGGTTGTAGATGTTCGAATCAATGCGATTAGTTTGGTTTGTAGATGTCTATATGTATGTGTGTCCCATATGAAGAAATGCGTCGCTCAAAACAATTAGGAGTCTGTTTTCTCGAATATTTGTATTTGTAATATAATAGATATTTATGATATAAAATAATATATCATTTTATAACATAAAATATTGAATATTTTTAATATAAATTCTTTTCAGTAACTACACAAATGTGATATTTATTGTTCTGCTTGGTTTTATATTATGTTTATTATATTTAATTAATAAAGCTATTCATTGTGTTAAATCACCTAATTGTTTTGAGCAGCGTAAATTGATGCACATCAACCGCGCCAAAAACGCGAAAAAATCGCGATTACTTCGCGTACGTTAACAGATTTCGCGAACGTCATCAGGTATTAGCTTTTTAAATTTTATAAATAAACTATATTTCACGCGAGAGAAAAATATTAAACGCAGAAATATAGAAAGCAAAGCACTTTTGAACAAAACTTTATTAACGCGTTCAGAAACTCAGTAATAAATACTGAGTAATAGTAATAATAATAGTAATAATAGTAATAAATAGTAATAATAGTAATAATAATAATAGTAATAATATAGTAATAAAAGAAAATGCACGATTATGATTCACACGCGTCGTTTTGATACAACAATCATCACGATTCCGAGTTCTTATTTTTTGGGTGTTTACATTCGCATTATTATTCTTTATTTAGAGAGAGACAGAGAGAGAGAGAGGGGGGGAAAGAAATGCGCGAATCTTCGGTTAAATTATATTTTCTCAATTATTACGAGAATAAATTTCATCACGGTTTCGCCGAGTAATCCATACAATAATGCGGTACTGTTTTCGCACAAATACTGCGGAATTGCCTTCGTGTAAATATTACAAAGTTAAATTCGCACAAATAGGGGAAAATGTCCAATAGTCGTCACTCGTTACAGTACTCGCCAATTTTCGGCACTCTTGCACGGATTTTATCAGATATTCAAGAGGATTAATTAATTATTTATTCATTAATTATTTATCGAATATTATTTGTTATTTATTCGTCTTCTTTTAGATTCCCATATACTTCAATACTTGATAATATCTACAAGAGTGTCGAAAACAGAGTTTCGACTATTGGACGTTTTTCCTTATCACGGGGTTCGCACAAATACCGCAGAATTGTTTTCGCACAAAAATTACGAAATCATAGTCGGTGAAAATTTCACGTCACCATTAGTTTCTATAACATCCCTTGCTACTTAGCAAGATTCGGCGTCGCGTATATATCTGGCGTCATTTTATCTTCTTTCTCATTATCACATCGCGTTTTTAACTCCCAATTAATAAATCTGACGATCGTCCGATTCTACTACTACGTGAATGAGTTGACGTTAATGAGAAGTGCAATAGTCGAGTCAATACGTCGCGAAAAACACCGACTATGTGTGTCAAAAATCAAAGAGATTACTTTCTAATAACGTACTCACGATATATTCCGATGATCGCACATCGCTATTTCGGCACTCCCGATACTTATTTCCGCGGCTGGCTCACTTTCGATAGATAAAATATGCGTAAAACGCGGAGCGATGTCGATCGCGATGTGTCAGTGTAGACTGCTAGTCGCGAAAAGATCGATATCCAAGATGGCCGCGCAATTACCGACACAGTGCCGAAAGCACGCGCCAAAACGTGAACGATGTCGCGGTTTGACAAGGACGCGCTCTAGTAGCTATGCCTCTCTCACTTACGCTGAAGGACGACCGCGCGAGATCCGACGTCGCGTATATCTCTAGCGTCGCTTTGTCTTTCTCTTTTCTTCGGATTATCACCGCGATTCTAACTCCTCGTTAATAAATCGGACGATCGTCCGATTCTATTACTACTTGAGCGAGTCGATGTTAATGACAAGTGCAATAGACGCCGCGATAAGCACCGACTGTATGTGTCAAAAATCAAGGAAATTACTTTCTAATAACGTACTCACAATACATCCCGATGATCGCACATCGCTATTTCGGCACTCCCGATACTTATTTCCACGCCAGGTTTACTTTCGATAGACAAAAGATGCGTAGAACGCGGAGCGATATCGATCGCGATGTGTCAGTGTAGGCTGCTCGTCGCGAAAAGATCGATTTCCAAGACGGCCGTGCAATCAACGACGCGAAGTGGCGACGCGAAGAGTGTCGCGTGTTACGCCGTCCTATCGGATCGCGGCTCCGCGATGCCACTCGATAGATCGATAGTTACTAGAACTTTCCGACCAGTGATGCGACTCTGTAACTTCTAACGACTTCTAACGACAGTATCATTATCGTTATGGGTCTTCTACAATAAGCCATTAGTCATAAGCTACAAACAAATTAACCAATCACAGTCAATTATTTTAAAAAATAATCGACTGTGATTGGTCAACTTACCTACAGCTTATGACTAATATCTTATTGTAGAAAGCCTATTAGGCTGATATTACATGTGTCATACGACAAGCTTGTTAGACGTTGTCGGGTAGAGAATATCTGACGTATATGGAAAAAAAGTTAGGAACCTTTTAAAGGAGAATTTTATCCATCAGCTAATCAACACGTCCGACAATACTTGTCGTACGACGCATGTAATATTAGACTTACATTGTCGTTACGCAACTATAACTTTTACAATAAGCCTTCTATAATAAAGCATTAGTCATAAGCCACAAACAAATTAACAGTCGATTAGTTTTTAAAATAATCTGTGGTTGGTCAACTTGCTTACGGCTTATGACTAATATCTTAGGGCCGATTTTTCTAACTTCTTGGTAAGCTACCTAACAATTAAATCATATGTCTGTCTTCGTTTTTCTTCAAATTAGAGACAGACACATGATTTAATTATCAGGTAGTCTACTAAGAGGTTGGAACAATCGGCCGTTATTATACAAAGCCTATAATATATGGTAAAAAAACTAGGCAACGACACTCCATGGTAGTGACATCGTCTGTTATAAAATGTTATAGAATAAGGCTGCAGAGTTGCATACGTATCTAGCTATATATTGCTCACGACTGTTGATTTATTCAGAAAGCGAGAACTTAATTCGATAATAAGGCCGAGAACACATAGAAAAATCTAAACAGTAGGACGTAAGCGGCAAGCAAATTGACCAATCACAGTCGCTGATTCTTGGACCATAAAAAGAATCATCGATTCTGATTGATCATTCTGTTTATTGCTTACATCTTATTGCTTAAGTTTTGCTGTGTGTTTCCGGCTTTACTGTCGGATTAAACCACACTTCTCGCTTCCTGAGTAAATCAACAATCGTAAGCAATGCACAGCTAGATACGAATGCGACTCTGATCAAGAAATTCTAGTAATTATTGATCTATCGAGTGGTAAGGCATCAGCGCGAGAGCGGCATACGAGCGCGCCACCGTACACGCCGCAGTGCACACTTTCGGCACTTTGCGTCGTCGATTGCGCGGCCGTCTTGGAAATCGATCTTTTCGCGACGAGCAGCCTACACTGATACATCGCGATCGACATCGCTCCGCACTCTACGCATCCTTTATCTATTGAAAGTATGCCGAAAGCGTAAATAAGTATCGGGAGTACCGAAATAGCGATGTACCATCGTCGGGATGTATCGTGAGTACGTTATTAGAAAGTAATCTCTTTATGATTTTTGACATACATTACCGGTGTTTGTCGCGGCGTCTATTGCATTTGTCATTAACATCGACTCGCTCAAGTAGTAGTAGAATCGGACGATCGTCGGATTTATTAACGAGGAGTTAGAATTGCGATGATAATATGAAAAAAAGAGAAAGACAAAGTGACGTTAGAGATATACGCTAGAGATCCTCTAGTAAGAGATGCGCAATCTTTGAGTGCGACGGGATTGGTCCTGGCCGACTTTGCAAGAATATGGCGGAACCAATGAAATAATCGTATTTTATTGGTAAAAGCACGGTGAAGATAAATTAATTAAAATTGAAGATAAATTACGTAAACTGAATTTAATAAATTTATAGATATGTAAAACAGAAAACCCTTTTGCTGCAGAATTTTTACAATTTGGAACGCAGTAGCCTGGCATTATATTTTACTTCAGATCTGTGTTCTACAGATCTCCTATGTGAATATGACTATGTTAAAATATTTTCAATTCTCACATGTATTTTACAATTTATGTGAAATAATATTTTATTATAATATTGCATTAATATTACCTTAATTATCAGCAATTTATATATTCTATATATATTAATCTTATATATATATATATATATATTCATAAACATATCAACACATGTCACACGTAGAAGCCGCCATATTCTTGCAAACAACCGAAGTTTGCGCATCTTTTACTAGAGGATTTCTAATATACGCGACGTTTTAGCGCGCCCTTTCGGCTCTGCGTCGGTGATTGCGCGGCCATCTTAGACATCGATCTTTTCATGACGAACAGCCTCCACTGACACGTCGCGATCGACATAGCTCTGTGTTCTACACATCTTTTATCTATCGAAAGTGAGCCTGGAGCGGAAATAAGTATCGGGAGTGCCAAAATAGCAATGTGCAATCATCGGAATCTATCGTGAGTACATTATTAAAAATCTTCTTGATTCTCGACATATACAACCGGTACTTAACGGTCGTAACGTGTTGAATCGACGTCTATTGCACTTGCATTAACATCGAGTCGTTCAAGTAGTAGTAGAATCGGACGATCGTCGGATTTATTAATGAAGAGTTAGAATCGCGAGAAGATAATTTCGGAGGAAAGGAGAAAGACAAAGCGACGCTAGAGATATACGCGACGTCGGATCTCGCACGGTCGGTCCGTTAGTAAGAGTGAAATAAATGTAACTACTAGAGCGCGTCCTTGTCATACCGCGACATCATTCACGTTTCGGCGCGTACTTTCGGCACTTTGCGTCGTCGAAGCATTCTCAGCGGACTGAATATATGACGTTGATCTCGCAGTGATTTTTGTTTCACGCTCTTAAGTGTGTTCTCGAAATGCTGGAGTTGATCGTATCGCAAGTTTTCGTTATAAACGTCTT